AGCCATTTAAACTATTTTGTTCAAAAGTAGAACAAAAGCAAAGACGTGTTTAGTGATGAAATATATACATGATGAACAAGGAGACTTCTTGTCACTGGCTGCCTGTTATCTTCTCTAGTGTAAAATAAGAGAAATGGACTTGTTCGTCTCCAAGGCCCTTTCCGGCTCCAGAGTCTGATTCCTTGTGAGTCCTACTGTTTGGAGAAGTATGTCATTTTCCCACAGTGGTATCAAATTAAATTGAATTGTGATATATCATTAAAAATCCAAGAGCCAATGAACCAGACTCCATCAGGCTGAGACCAGAAGAACTAGATGGTGCCTGGCTACCACCAGTGACCGCCCTGACAGGGAATGCAACAGAGAGTCCCGGACAGAGCAGGAGAGAAATGTAGAACAGAATTCAAATTTACATTAAAAAAACAGACTTAATGGTCTGACAGAGACTAGAGGAACCCTCAAAACTACCATCCCCAGACACTTTTAACCCAGAACTGAAACCATTCCCAAAGCCCACTTTCCAGACAAAGAGTAGACAGGACTATAAAACAAAAAATAATACACGTGAGGAATGTGCTGCTTAGTTCAGTCAGATACACGAGACCAAATGGGCAGCTCCTGTCCGAAAGCAGGATGGGAAGGCAGGAAAGGACAGGAGCTGGACGAATGGAGGCAAGGAACCTGGAATGAAAAGGGGGAGTGTGCTGTCATGTTGCAGGGATTGCAGACAATGTCACAGAACAGTACGTGTATAGATTTTTGAATGAGAAATTAACTTGAGCTGTGAACTTTCACCTGAGGCACAATAAAAAGGAAAAAAAATCCAAGAGCCGAGTAGAAAAGTTAAGGGTAACTAAGAGCCCCACCGATCAGCTCTCAGTAAATGTTCACAACTTCAAGTGGTTCCTTTATCAAATCTAAATACACCTGCTAATAACAGATACATGAAATAATAAAGAAAATTTTAATGATTTTCAATATTTTTAAAAGTGACTGTTTTTACTAACAAGTTGTTTTCTTTTTTAAGTTATGTATGTTAAAAAATACTTTTTTTTAAATTCATTAGGGAAGTTTGGTTGGCTTAGTGGATTATCCAGATGATGAAGAGGAAGATGAAGAAGAAGAAACATCCCCCAGGAAAAGACCTCGTCTTGGCTCATAAAGTCTTTACTGGGCAACCCTCAACATGTGGTCTTACTAAAATGCTGCACTGTCCGATGAGCTGAAAGTCTGAATCAGAAAGCTTTCTCACTTGAACTTATAAATATACAAGGAGTAGCAACACGCAGTGTATCAGCTAGGAGGGTTTAGTTCTGTATAAAACCAGGCTTTCCAGGAACTTGATTGCTTGCTAGTAGTGAAGGGGTTTGCCTTTCAGGTTGTCAAAAAAAAAAAAACGGGTTAGTAACCCTAACCTGGAAGATAGCTTCTTAGCAAGGAAAGTCTCAGGTTTGGGGACAGTTTACGGGAGGGAAGAGGTCGATAAAGCAATGTTAATGCAGGATTGCTCCAGGAGGTATCCAATCTAGAAACAACGGTAAAATTTTAGTTGCAAACCCAATAATATTACTTGTATAATGGTGCTGGCCATGTTCTTTTAATCAGTTGCCTCTTTTTAAAAGAAATTTTTATGGAAACAAGTTCAACTATCATAAAAAACAAAATTAAGCTGTTGGGACCATTTCTTTGAAGATCTCACAGAAATTCAGCCTGGGAGGTATTTGGAGGGAAGGTACACCTGGTATTATGGGGCATGCTGAGTTTTGTACACCAGAAATTTTCAGTATGTATCTTAACGAAAACAAGCAAGCCAGATTCAAAATGGGCGGTGTTCTGTAACGTAACTTCAAAGTCAGCACTTTGAGAGATAACAGAGGCCAAGCAGCAGTACAGTAGTATATTCCAAAAGGACTTTCCCTAGAAACCTGAGTAGTGAATCGAACAGACTGTTTCCAGCTGCCTGCCAGTAACCATGTTTTGTGGAAGATACTCTGAAGTCATTTTCTGCTTTGTTAGTGAAGTCTGTCTTGTAGAGCTGCAGGCAAGTTTTAAAAGGTAATTTACAAAGACTAACATACAAAGAATAGGGCTGGATTAAGTGGCACTTAATATCTACAAGCTATTTTGGACCAAGAAGTTCCTTCAGTGTCAAAGTCAGCATGCATCACATAAAGTTTTTCCATAAACAAACAAGGGTGTAATATGAAAGCTGCTTTTTTAGAGTCAAAGCACATTCCATGTACGTAATGAATTTAAAATAATAAATCGAGGCAAACTGTTAAGAGGTTTTATTTTTAGAACAGCAAGTTTACTGTAAATATTTTAATGTTATTTTACTCACCTATGATCTGAGATCATGCTGAAGTGAGAAAAAATATCCCCAAACTACAATTTAATGCATTCGGAAAAAAAAAAAGCTAAAAACAGTAATTCTAGCTACAGTCTTTAGGTCACCTTTGTAATGTGTTATGGGTCCGTTTTTCCTGGAATAGCTTAAACTGAAGCAGTTTGCCCTGTTTTGGAGATTTTGTAGTTAATTTTAATTTTGGCTATTGTTTGGAAAAAATGGGCTGTCTGTGTAGATATGAAGTATAGTTTTTCCATAAAACAGATGTTTATTTTGTATTAAAAATACCACTGTACTTGTTTTACACCATTTGTATACATGTGGTGATATTAATGCGGAACTGTAAAATTCAGGAATTAAAATGTGACCCTGTAAGTCCATGATCGTTGCTTTTATTTGGTCTGTTGTAAATGTAAATTAACCCCATTTTGAGATCTGTCCATTTTACAGGATCTTTTGAAAGCCAATAAAACTACCCATAGATATTTATTGTACACCAGCAGGTTGCACACCAGACTGAGTGAAAAGAATTCTAAGTAAACGAGGGTCAGTTGTACTCGAGCATCTGTGACTACTTATAGAAGGAAGGTTACGGGCAAGTCAAGTCTCTGGACCTCGCGGGGCATCAGCACCACAGAAAGTAGCTGTTTTCCTCACCTCTGATTAAAGACGCACGTAATGAAAAGGATCTTCCACCTCATCAAGAAAGTGACTCACGATATTTTAAACTAAGATCCGTAAAGTTATCATAGGAATACATTTTCTTTCAAGCAGGTTTTATCAAGCCCCTTCTTTCTTCTGAGCTCTTACTAAATTTCCTCTTGTAATCTAAGAAGCCCAGGCCTAAAACATCTACTTGTAACTTGTCCTAAGTAACCTGAAATCCCAGTAGGAAGTGTTATCTTTATGTCTTACGAAGAGTGAATTTTCCTTTTTGAAGAACTGCCACAAGTCTCGAACATTCAAATCATCATCATAGGAGCCTTTCCTTCGAGCAGAAATGTGAATGTTTTCTTGGATTGCAGGATAACCGTTTTCATCGTACGAGTGTGCTTCACCCTCCGTGGTATGACAAGACTGAAATAATCCCTTCAAAGAACAACTATGGAGTCCAGGTTAGCTGCTGCTTAAATGACTACCCTCAGGCACATCTGAGTTTTTATATCTTCACTCAATGGAGCGAGCCACAGGCCACATTTGTGTGCCTGAGGCCCTTTTAAAATTTATCTGTAAACTGTATCTGATATAAAGACTATTTTTAATAAAAAGTTACATAAAACAGACTTGTGTGTTTTATTGATCACTAGCTTTTCCTCTTGTCCATCTAGTGATGAAAATGGAACAAAGTAAAACTGTACTGATTTCTTTTCTGCAGGTTGAAGGTTAGTGTAGCTAAAGTGACCGAATTCTGTTAAACTAATTTTGGTATACCTTTTTAAAAACTTACCTACAATATATAATTGTAGATCTCGGGAGATAAAATGGAATCAGGACTTGCCTGTAACTAGGAAAGGGGGTGAATGTGGGATGTCAGAACACTAGAAGTTTCTGAAAGAAATCTTTGAGCAAACAGACTACCGAAAACTATTCCAAGATCTCTTCACATACGAAAGACTTCTACCCAACGGCAGCGTTCTCTTTATTGGTTTTCAGGATAGCTTTTCTAGCAGGAGTGCGCGATGGAGTATTTTTAACATCCTGCGCGTCCATTTTCCAAGTCTTGTTTGCTGCAGCCTCAAGTGTTGCTAGAACCCACCTCACCACCACTGAAGACAGCTACTCTTGACTGGACTGCTTCACCTCCAGTGTGCCCACCACTACCCCGACCCACCCGCCGGTCTTCACACAACAGCCACAGGTCTTTTTAAAATGAAAATTTTGCTGATGTAGTTTCCCACTTTTCAGTGACTTCCTCTGCCCTTGGAAAATCTACAGTCCTTGCATTCCCTGCAGGCCCTGCACAGTCAGCACGCACCACGCTTGTTTCACATCCCACCCTGCCCCCTTAGTCTAAGATGCTCTAGCCACACCAACCCTGCAGCCCCTCAGTGTGAGCCTCATTCTTGCCTGCTACAGGGCCTTAACTGTTCCTTCTCTCCCTGCAGTTAGCCTTCCAGTCAGCTGAAACTACTCTTTTTCAAGGAGGCCTAGGCAGCACTCTGTACTTGTAAGACTTTGTTCATTGGGCCTTCTTCACTAGCCCCATGAGGGTAGGGACCCTGTCCATCTAGGCGACCACTATATGCGAAGTACCTAGCACAAAGCATAGCGTGGTAGTAGTAACCAAGTTAGAATAAATGTGCTGTCAACTAGTTTCTATAACCTCTCCAACAGAGCAAACCAAAAAATCCGAACCTATTGCCCTGGAGTTGATTCCGACTCATAGCGACCCTACAGGACAAGGTAGAACTGTTCCATCGAGTTTCCAAGGAGCGCCTGGTGGACCTGAACTGCCGACCCTTTGGTTAGCAGCTGTAGCACTTAACCACTATGCCACCAGGGTTTCCAAGAGCAGTATCCAGAAACTTGTATCAAACTGGTCAGAATAAGGGAGCCCAAGTGGCACAGTGGTTAAGTGCTCAGCTGAGGTCGGTGGTTTGAACCCACCAGCTGTTCCACAGGAGACGGATGCGGCGGTCTGCTTCCATAAAGACTACAGCCTCGAAAGCGCTATGGAGCGGGTGTGCTCTGTTCTACAGGGTCCTAGGAGTCAGAATTGACTTGACAGCGACGGGTTCTTTGGTTTGGGCAGTATATGTAGCCGCCTTCCCCACCAGCCTCATTTCCAGTGTTTGAAATAGTAATAATAAGCTTACACTGGCATTTACAGACTCAAGGATGTTTGAAACTCGACAGTTGAAGGATTAAATAATTTATTTTTAAGAAAATGTGAACTGCTCTTTTGCTGAACTGTTCATAAAGTGATTACTTGTTAATAACTTCTTCTTTAAGTTTCTCTGCAAGGAGTCTCCGCTTCAGTAGCGTTTGCTTCTCCTCTGCTGTCATTTCTGGTTTCTCTGTCATTTCCTGTAAAAGAGAGAGAAAAGGTGGCTTCAGTCGAAAATGGGCTCATCTATGTAAAATTCCCAACATCCTGTCTCGAATAAAGAGTAGGATATTTTCAGTAAGAAGATAAGCCAGAGGCAGACTTTTCCATTGCCATGCAGTCGACTGCAACCCATAGCGACCCTACAGGACAGATTAGAACTGCCCCATAGGGTCTCCAAGGAGCAGCTAGTGGATTCGAACTGCCGACCTTTTGGCTAGGAGCCGAACTCTTAACACTGGCTTAACCAGGGCTCCAGATGTAGACTCGGTTCCTTAAATCTCTAAGATCTCTGGCGAGAGCCTCTTGGGAGGTGGTGGCTGGGGTCCTGATGCTGCTCTACAATAAAACATCTCAAACCCTTCAAAAGGCTCAGGGACAGTAGACTGCTGACTGTTAGGCACTCAGAGCGGGGCAAGAAACAAGAAAAAACGTGTGAAACTTATTTCTGCCGAAAGAATCCTGATCACAATTATCCACCTGCCTAGAAAAAGCAGCTGCTGGCACTAGTGGGGTGGTTAACATGAACGGGTCTACCAGCCAAATTCACTCTTGATGCTTTCTTGCACATGGTCTGATTCTGAGATCTGCAAATTTTGACAGGCCACAAGGCCAGTCATACCTCGACCTCCCCAGCAGGTGTTCCCTGGGGCTCAGTGTTTTCTAGCTGCTTAGTCCTTACGTCCTTTCGCATGGACATCAATTTGTCTCTCTTCTGCTTGAGGTAGTGCTCTCGCTGGCGCAGCTCTTCTGTTCCAAGTGCTGATAAATTCTGGATCAGACAAGAGAAGGAAACGATGTAAATTCAAGCCTACAGGATGAACGGCACCTAGACTCTGACGGATTCCATCGAACAGCCAAGTGTACAGCTGCTCACACTGCTTGTTCCCAGAGCTCTGCATTTGCTGAGTTCCTAAGGCGTGTCTTTTACTTACTGTTATTGGTCCTTCCACGCTCGCGTGTTCTAAGTCAGGCATCTTCAGTCCTCTTTGGGGGAGGGAGGAAGATTCAGGCAACATTCCCAGCTTTCTTGCCAAGGGTTGTGCTGACCGATTAGCAAAATGCACTTCAACTTCTGGCAGCAATTAGATAATGAGACCAATTAGAAAATTACAAGAAAATACTAAATACTAGGCTAGGTTCACCAGAATGAGTTAATGTTAATCCTTGGCTTTTTCTCACATTCATTCAATCAACATATATTTAGTGCTTTCATTGTGCCAGACACTGAAAGAGAAGGATAAACACAGTCTCTGCCCTCAAGGAGCTTGAACACTACCAACTATTTTTAAATGTTTACAGTTTCTTATCTCATGATTAATGACAATTCAACAAATACTGAGTGTCTACTATTTATAAGGTACTGTAGATACAAAGGAAACCCTGGTGGCGCAGTGGTTAAGAGCTCGGCTGCTAACAAAAAGGTCAGCAGTTTGAATCCACCAGGCGCTCCTTGGAAACCCTATGGGGCAGTTCTACTCTGTCCTATAGGGTTGCTATGAGTCAGAATCAACCCGATGACAAGGGGTTGGGTTTGGTTTCCTAGATACAAAAGGATATAATCCTTGTCTGAAGATTAGACTACACTAAAATGGAACACAAGGTTGCCAAACCAAACCCACTGCCGTCGAGTCGATTCCAACTTGTACACCAAATAAACACGCTAATTCCTCACTATAGTGTAACTGGTTTCAAAATGTTTGCTTGCAAGTAAAAACTAAGTGACCTTGTATTTTCAAAACAACTAATATAAAGCTACCATTTTCTGTACTGAAAGAGTAACTTCGATTACTATCAATTTTTGTTCATGATTACATATTGAAGATAACTCTAAACCCTGTTGACAGATTAAAATGTAAAGATTCCTAAAGCAAGGAGGATTTGGAAGAAGAGCTTGATATTTCCCAGCAATGTGGAGGAGACTGTGCCAAGAAAGGGGATTAACATTCGAATTGCCATTTTCATTACAAGGTTGTTGTTGTTTTTTTTTAAGATAAAACATTTTCAGTGTAAGTACATGAGCTATGAAAGCAAGCAGAGTAAGAGAAGCAAAGACCCACATAAAAACGATGCTACCTATATTCAGATTATTAGAGGTTCAATACACCTCAGCCTTACCTGGGGGTGGGTGTGCAAAGGGCTCACCATCCCCTTGGAAATTATCCATTTTTGTAGCTTCACCAGCATGCACTGAGGGTCCTTCTGTCTTAGCCTCTGATAACTTCAGAAATCCAGAATACAATTACAAAAAAACAAAAAACATTTTATTTTCAATAATTCACTACTTAAGGCATCCAAAGACATTAAAAAAGGAAAAAGGAAAAACAAAACCTACCTACTGAATAGATAATGAACAAAAGGTTCTATTTTTCCAAAGTTTTTAAGAGTTGCCAGCATTATATATCTCCTATTTTACCAAGTAGGTAAACATTCTATTTCAGATCAGGCAGCACTAAGGGTGACTATTAAGGTTAGGGCTTCAGACTTAGCTAGAACTGGGTTAAAACCCAGGCTTCACCCATATTTGTCATGTGATCTTTAATATAACCCTGGGAAATACCCTAGGAGAAACCAAACTACTGAATTATAAGGTGCTTTTCCACTGAAAATAATCTATAAAGCACTATTCTGAAATGTCTGAAGTTGGCACAAATTTATAGCCATTTTTAAAACAGAATACTGTTTTTCCACCAAAAAAATCATTTAAATGTTGGAAAGAACTAAGTAAACTGATCATTTATTTTTCCTTAAAAATAGAGGAAAACCCCATCACAACGTAGCTCACTAGATAATTCATGAATATCTAAAGCACAAGTCCCTATATGCTGGATACGTGGGGTTATTATTATTACTCTCTCTACTTTCATGTGTTTAAAATTTTCCATAACAAAAAGCCAAGGGAAAAAAACCATAAAAATAATCATATGTCCCTAAAACATAGTATTATTCAAGAAGCTGATGTACCTACCTAATGTAGTTTGCTTAAAAATTAGAGAGTTAGTACTACTGTCTTCTGGTAACAGTTTTGAACTGGTTTCTGTTCTATCCCTTTATATTAAAAAATCTTTATTAACATCTAAGAACTTTGTCTCCATTTACTAAAAAGAGATTTACTCAACTACCTCTTAATCCTAAAATGTCTCTCTTCTGCTCTGCACTGGGTACCTTGGAGTAAAATAGGTTTTTCACAGAAGCTGACAGTGAAAAGATAGGAGAACATATGTACGCCATGAGTGAGGAGGGAGAAAAGGCAATTACTTTCCAATGATTGAGGGAGAGGTTATATTAAGTTTCCCTTCCCGTTCAGGGACATTGGGAAGATGTGTAAAGAGAGAGGCAGCTAGAAAAGGGGAGAGGAAGGAATAAAAATTAGGTTCCCTCACCTCAATTTAATTTACCCTTAGGAAATGTCAGGTGCTTTATGGAGATGTTTCTTAGTGGAAGAACAGTGTGCCAGTAAATGTGATATTGAATACTGTGCTTTAATATGATAATGGGAAGGGCTGCAGGGGACCTTCTATAGTAGCTGTACTTGCTGTTTCAAAACAGTAAGGGAGTCATGGAGCGGGGAAGTAAAATATTTTTCTTAATACTCTTTTGTTCATAAAATGAGGGCAATTTTTATTAGGAACTCTCTGAAAATATAAATGCTGTTACAGTTTTTTGGAATTAATACTTTTGGTCTTTATCATGGAATTTAGAAGGTAGGTTGCTGGATGAATTATAACCTAAAAGAAATCATAAACAGGAGGCAGGGCCAAGATGGTGGAGTAGTCAGACGCTTCCTGTGGTTCCTCTTACAAAAGACCCGAAAAAAACAAGTGAATCAATTATGTATGACAATCTAGGGAACCTGAACATCAAAGGCAAAGTTGAGGAATCGGACTGAATGGCAGGGGGAAGTTGAGACAGTTCAGAAGCAGCAAGAAGCTGCCAGAACTGACCTGGCAGGAACTGGCACCCTGCAGGCCAGATCGGCTGGTGTGCACAGTGAGGCAAATAGTGGCACTCGGGATGTGTTTTCCACATCAAGAGAGACCAAGCGGCGGAGAGTCTACTCGAGCCTCCAGAACCAGTGAAAAGCAGTGCTCAGTTGACAAAAGATAAGTACGTGCTTCTTATCCACCTCGTGGATCAAAAAACACCCCATCTGGGAAGAACCTCTCTCCCATTTACGTGCCTCCTCCCCGCTCTGCACCAGGTCCTGGGCCGGCTTCAACAATTGCCGTGTCCCCTGGGCTGGATGTAGGACCTATCAAGCACCCTGAGCCATTCTCCCGGCCTTTGAGAGATAACAAATTAACAAACAGGGAAAAATAATCTGCCAGCTCCACTAAGCCAGGAACTCAGGGCAGGCACAGCTCCTTTGCCTAGGCACAGGCGTAAGGGGTCCATGCCTTTGAGTGACTTTCACCCCTGCACAGACTTGTGTGGGCCCATTTCACCAGTGTAGGCCCTCATTAGAACAGTACAACAGGGTATATACCTGAAGCCTAACTTCAACTGTATCAGCTAAATGGGGGAGTGGCAGATTCATGACATCTGATACCACCCTGACCATTAAGCAGGGTTCTCACCTACCTACATCAGGCGCCTGAGGACTGGTGGCTCCACCCACGCCACCTAGCCACCTGCAACAGGGGTCCAAGAATAAGTGGTGCCTACCAGTCCTTACAGCCAACAGCACTGCTGCCCAGAGTCCTGCTGCAAAACTCACTCACCTACACACTCTAGGGAACAGGGTCACGCTTTCCTCCCACTCGGGCAGTCGTCAGCCCCCTGCCTTGCTCAGCGCGTGACCCTCTACTGCAGCCAGATACCTGTGCCTACTCAAATTGCCCTGCTCATCTACGACTGTAGGTGAGAGCCTGCACCACAAACTTGGTGACCAACTGTCTGGACACCAAAGCTGAATCTATTCAACAAAAGTAAACAGACTCCTGGGCTGACGTACCTAGTAACAGATCTAACCACCTGGTGACAGGACGTTAGAGCTTCAAAGGTACCAATAATCAAACTAGCTCACACAAGCAGCCTATTTGGGCATATCGAAACAAAACAAAACAAGAAACTAGGACACAGTAAGCAAACATAAAATAAACAGAATAACTTATTGATGGCTCGGAGACAACAGTCAATATCAAATCACATAAAGAGGTAGACCATGATGACTTCAGCAAGCTCCCAAAAGAAAGAATCAAGAAATCTTCTAGAGGAAGAGAACTTCCTGGAATTACCGGAGGTAGAATACAATAGATTAATATACAGAACTCTTCAGGAGATTCAGAAAGGAGATCAGGCTAAACGCAGAACAAGCCAAGGAACATATAGACAAAGCAACAGAGGAAAAACTTAAGCAGAGAAGAGGAACTGACGAATTTAACAAGCTGCAAAAATCCATAGAGAGACAGCAAACAGAAATCCAGAAGATTAACAATAAAATTCAGAATTAGACAACTCAATAAAAAGTCATAGAAGAAGAATTGAGGCAATGGAAGTCAGAATTAGTGAGAATGAAGATAAAGCACTTGACACCAACTTATTTGAGGAAAAATCAGAAAAAAGAATTTTAAAAAATGAAGAAACTCTAAGAATTATGTGCGACTCTATCAAGAGGAATAACGTAGGAGTGACTGCAGTACCAGAAGGAGGGGATTACAGAAAATACAGAGAGAATTGTTGAAGATTCATTGGCAAAAAACTTCCCTGATATCGTGAAAGATGAGAAGATATCTATCCAAGATGCTCATCGAACCCCACACAAGGTAGATTCCAAAAGAAAGTCACCAAACTTGCCAAAACCAAAGATAAAGAGAGAATTTTAAGAGTGGCTAGGTATAAACGAAAAGTCATCTACAAAGGAGAGTCAATGAGAATAAGCTCGGACTACTCAGCAGAAACCATGCAAGCAAGAAGGCAATGGAATGACATCTATATAAAGACTTGAAGGAAAAAGATTGCCAGCCAAGAATTATATACCCAGCAAAACCGTCTCTCAAATATGATGGCCAAATTAGGTCATTTCCAGATAAACAGAAGTGTAGGGAATTTGCAAAAAGCAAATCAAAATTACAAGAAATACTAGAGGGAGTCCTCCGGTTAGAAAATCAGTAACATCAGATAATAACCCAAGACTAGAACACAGGACAGAGCAACCAGATACAAATCCAGATAGGGAAGTCACAAAAATAAAAGCTAAAACTGTGTAAATAGGGAAACAGACATCAATGTGTAAAAGATGACAACATTAAAACAAGAAAGGGGGGCAAAAAAATTGTCATCATAGATCTTTCACACGGAGAGGAAGTCAAGGCGATATAAAGAAATAAAAGATTGGTTTAAACTTAGAAGAATTAGGAGTAAATATTAAGGTCACCACAAAGGAAACTAACAATCCTACACATGAAAATAAAAAACAATATAAAGACTCAGCAAATACAAAATCAACTAAATGAAAAAGATGAAAAAAAAATAAAGAAAAATGACTCAGCACAGAAAATCATGTGGAACAAAGACATTGTCAACAACACACAAAGACATCAAAATGACAGCACTAAACTCATACCTATCAATAATTACACTGAATGTAAATGGACTAAATCCACCAATAAACAGATAGAGAGTGGCAGAATGGATAAAAAAACACGATCCGTCTATCTGGTGCCTGTAAGAGACACACTTCAGACTTAAAGACACAAACTAAAACTCAAAGGATGGAAAAAATATGTCAAGCAAACAACACTCAAAAAAGAGCAGGAGCGGCAATATTAATCTCTGACAAAATGGACTTTAAAGTAAAATCCACCACAAAGGATAAGGAAGGACACTATGTAGTGATTAAAGGGTCAATACACCAGGAGGACATAACCATAATAAACATTTATGCACCCAACAACAGGGCTCCAATATACCTAAAACAAACTCTAACAGCACTGAAAAGAGAGAGAGACAGCTCCACAATAATAGGAGACTTCAACATACCACTTTCAGTGCAGGACAGAACATCCAGAAACAAGTTCAATAAAGACACGGAAGATTTAAATGCCACAATCAACCAACTTGAACTCAAAGACATATACCGAACACTCCATCCAACAGCAGCCAAGTATACTTTCTTTTCCAACTCACATGGAACATTCTCCAGAAGAGACCACACATTAGGCCATAAAGCAAGCCTTAACAGAATCCAAAGCACTGAAATATTACAAAGCATCTTTTTTGACCATAAAGCCATAAAAGTAGAAATCAACAACAGAAAAAGCAAGGAAAAAAAATCAAACACATGGAAACTGAACAACACCTTGTTCAAAAACTACTGGGTTATAGAAGAAATTAAAGATGGAATAAAGAAATGCACAGAATCAAATCAGAATCAAAACATATCCTACCAGAACCTTTGGGACACAGCAAAAGCAGTGCTCAGAGGTCAATTTATAGCAATAAATGCACCCATTCAAAAAGAAGGAAGGGCCAAAATCAAAACATTAACCCTACAATTCGAAAAAATAGAAACAGAGCAGCAAAAGAAGCCCTCAGGCACCGGAAGAAAGCAAATAATAAAAATTAGAGGAGAATTAAATGAAACAGAAAACAGAAAAACAACTGAAAGAGTTAACAAGACCAAAAGCTGATTCTTTGAAAAGATCAACAAAATCGATAAACCACTGGCCAAACTGACAGAAGAAAAACAAGAGAGGAAGCAAATAACCTGAATAAGAAACGAGATGGGCAATACCACAACAGACCCAACTGAAATTAAAAGAATCATAAAAGAATACTATGAAAAACTGTACTCTTCAACAAATTTGAAAACCTAGATGGAATGAACAAATTTCTAGAAACACACTACCTACCTGAACTAACACAGAGGCAGAACAACTAAGTAAACCTATAACAAAAAAAAAAGATTGAAAAGGTAATTTATAAAAACTCCCAACAAAAAAAGCCCTGGCCCTGACCATTTTACTGGAGAATTCTACCAAACTTTCAGAGAAGAGTTAACACCACTACGACTAAAGATATTTCAGAGCACAGAAAAGGGTGGAATACTCCCAAACTCATTCTAGGAAGCTAACATAACCCTGATACCAAAACCAGGTAAAGACATCACAAAAAAAGAAAATTACACACCAATATCCCTCATGAACACAGACATAAAAATCCTCAACAAAACTCTAGCCAATAGAATTCAAAAACGTATCAAAAAAAAAAATTCACCATGACCAAGTGGGATTCATACTAGGTATGCAGGGATGTTTCAACATTAAAATAACAATCAATGTAATCTATCACATTAATAAAACAAAAGACAAGAAACACATGATCTTATCAATTGATACACAAAAGGCATTTGACAAAGTCCAACACCCATTCATGATAAAAAAAACTCTCAGCAAAATAGGAACAGAAGGGTAATTCCTCAACATAATAAAGGGCATTTATACAAAGCCAACAGCCAACATCCATCCGCAATGGAGAGAGTCTGAAAGCATTCCCCTTGAGAATGGGAACCAGACAAGGATGCCCTTTATCACCACTTTTATTCAACATTGTGCTGGAGGTTCTAGGCAGAGCAATTAGGCTAGAAAAAGAAATAAAGGACATCCAAATTGGCAGGGAAGAAGTCAAAGTATCTCTATTTGCAGATGATATGATCTTATACACAGAAAACCCCCAGGAATCCACAAGAAAACTACTGGAACTAATAGAAGATTTCAGCAAAGTATCAGGATACAAGATAAACATACAAAAATCAGTTGGATTCCTCCACACCAACAAAGACAACCTGGAAGAGAAAATCACCAAATCAAGACCATTTACAATAGCCCCCAGAAGGTAAAATACTTAGGAATAAATCTAACCAGGGACGTAAAAGACCTATACAAAGAAAACTACAAGACACTACTGTAAAAAACCAAAAGAGACCTACATAAGTGGAAAAACATACCTTGCTCATGTATAGGAAGACTTGACGACGTGAAAAATGTCTATTCTACCCAAAGCAATCCCAATCCAAATTCCAATGGCATTTTTTAATGAGATGGAGAAGCAAATCATCAACTTCATAGGGAAAGGGAAGAGGCCTCGGATAAGTAAAGCATTACTGAAAAAGAACAAAAAAGTGGGAAGCCTCACACTACCTGATTTTAGAACCTATTATACCGCCACGGTAGTCAAAACAGCCTGGTACTGGTACGACAACAGATACACAGACCGATGGAACGTAATTGAGAATCCAGACATAAATTCATCCACCTATGAGCAGCTGATATTTGACAAAGGCTCCAAGTCCATTAATTGGGGAAAAGACAAGTCTCTCTAACAAATGGTGCTGGCATAACTGGATATCCATCTGCAAAAAAATGAAACAAGACCCATACCTCATACCACGCACAAAAACTAACTCAAAATCGATCAAAGATCAAATATAAAATCTAAAATGATAAAGATCATGGAAGAAAAAATAGGGACAACGCTAGGAGCCCTAATACATGCCATAAACAGAATACAAAACATTATTAACAATACACAGACACCAGAAGAGAAACTAGATAACTGGGAGCTCCTAAAAATCAAACCCTTATGCTCATCAAAAGACTTCACCAAAAGAGTAAAAAGACAAACTACAGACTGAGAAAAAATTTTTGGCTACAACAAATCCGATCAGCATCTAATCCCTAAAATTTACAAGATACTGCAAAACCTCAACGACAAAAAGATAAATAAGCCATTTAAAAAATGGGCAAAGGATATGAACAGGCACTTCACCAAAGAAGACATTCAGGTGGCTAAGAGATACATGAGGAAATGCTCACGAACATTAACCATTAGAGAAATGGAAATCAAAACTACAATGAGATACCATCTCACCCCAGCAAGGCTAGCATTAATCCAAAAAACACAAAATAATAAATGCTGGAGAGGTTGTGGAGAGACTGGAACACTTATACACTGCTAGTGGGAATGTAAAATGGTGCAACCACTTTGGAAATCGATTGGCACTTCCTTAAAAAGCTAGAAATAGAAGTACCATACTATCCAGCAATCCTACACTTAGGAAAATATCCTAGAGAGATAAAAGCCGTCACACGAAGAGATATATGCACACCCATGTTCACTTCAGCACTGTTCGTGATAGCAAAAAGTTGAAACAACCTAGGTGCCCATCAGTGGACAAATGGATAAACAAATTATGGTATATTCACACAATGGAATACTATGCAACAATAAAGAACGATGAATCTGTCAAACATCTCATAACATGGATGAATCCGGAAGGCATTATGCTCAGTGAAATTAGTCAGTCGCAAAAGGATAAATATTGTGTGAGACCACTATTATAAAATATTCTTTGATTGTTACGAGGGCGAGGAAGGAGGGAGAGGGGTATTCACTAACCAGATAGTAAATAAGAATTATCTTAGGTGAAGGGAAGAACAACACACAATACAGGGGAAGTCAGCACAACTGGACTAAACCAAAAGCTAAGAAGTTTCCTAAATACAACCAAACACTTCAAGGGACAGAGTAGCAGGAGCAGGGGTCTGGGAACAAGGTTTCAGAGGACATCTAGGTCAATTGGCATAATAAACTTTATTAAGAAAATGTTCTGCATCCCATTTTGGTGAGTGACGTCTGGGGTCTTAAAAGCTAGCGAGTGGCCATCTAAGATGCATCAGTTGGTCCCATCCCACCTGGAGCAAAGGAGAATGAAGAACACCAAAGACACAAGGAAAACATTAGCCCAACAGACAGAAAGGGCCACATAAACCAGAGACTCCATCAGCCTGAGACCAGAAGAACTAGATGGTGCCCGGCTACCACCAATGACTGCCCCGACAGGGAACACAACAGAGAGTCCCCGATGGAGCAGGAGAAAAGTAGGGTGCAGAACTCACATTCTAATAAAAAGACCAGACTTAATGGTCTGACTGAGACTGGAGGGACCCTGGAAGACATGGCCCCTGGATGCTCTGTTAGCCCAGAACTGAAACCATTCCCAAAGCCAACTCCTCAGACATAGATTCGGCTGGACTGTAAGGCATAAAATGATACTCCTGAAGACAGTGCCTCTTAGCTCAAGTAGATACATGAGACTAAATGGCCAGCTCCTGTCCCGAGGTGAGATGAGAAGGCAAAAAGGGACAGGAGGTGGTTGCATGGACAGGGGAAATCCAGGCTGGAAAGGAGAAGTGTGCTGTCACAGTATAGGGAGAGCAACTAGGGTCACACAACAATGTGTGTATAAATTTTTGTATGAGAAACTAACTGGAACTGTAAACTTTCACTTAAAGCACAATAAAAAAAAAATTAATTCTTCATAGGTAAAAGTTAAATATAAATGCTTAGACTTGCCAAGAAAATATGAATCTCTGAGAAACTGTGTAGTTCTACATGAGCTTAAACTTGAACAGCCAAAACTAGGCATAAACTTTGGAAGAGATAAGAGCAATGAAATATTTCTGTTATATTAATATGGTCTGCAGGCACCTGTTTTTTTCTCTTCCTTTCTTCCTCCTGGTCATATTCCTCTTTGGATTTTCTGAAATATACAAACACAAGGTAGAAAAGTACGTTTTCTTTTCTAGTCAAAGAACAAATATTCAACCAGCCCACGTTTAAGCCTAAACGTACAATACACGTAAGGGATGCTGGTTACAGAGGTGGAAAATAATCAGGCCTTGCTATAAGGCAGCTTAGAATCAACTGTGAAAGACACAGATAGGGAGATACAGCACAATATCACTGGTAACATAAAACACAGGTTTATCCATTTCTTCAGGAAATGTGAATGACCCCTAGCTGAACAAAGACCAACACGCTGGAAATCCTAAACTGAAATCTGAATGATGAATCCCATTAATATGGCCTTTGATCTCCATCTCTGAGATCAGTTCTACCTCTCTTGATGCGATCCATTTCTCCCCTCATTCTAGCTCTTCCACTGGCATCTGAGCCATCCCAAAGCACTTCTGATGCTACTGTGCCAAAGCCCTGTCAACTTTTATAAACTGCTGACTGAGGCAGTCTGATTTAGGAAAACACTAAATTAATCCTCGTGCACATTGGTCACTAAGTGCCCTGGCCATGTCTTACGCTGCAGTTGGTGCTGTTAGCTGCCACTGAGTTGACTCCAACTCACGGCGACCCCAAGTGTGCAGCAGAACTACTTCAAAGGGTTTTCAAGGCTGTGACCTTTCAGAAGCACATGGCCAGGCCTTACTTCCGAGATGTCTCGGGGGGGGTTGAACCACCAACCTTACTGTTAGGAGTCCAGCGCTTAATGGTCTGCACCCCCCAGGGACCCCTTCACTGCAGTCACCCTCCTCAAAAGCTCTTGGAAAATAAAATCTGAAAGTACAGTGCTGATCAGTTTTCAGACTACCAAATCAATCATCAGGTGCAACCAATCCAATTCAAAACTTTATCAGTCCTCTAAACTTAGTACCAAATACCTCACGGCTTTAAACCTGCAATCACTCCGTGTGGGACCAGGCCCCAGTCTGCCCCGCAATGGAAGCTAAGATCTGGCAGGAAAGGGCTCGGTTCAGTAGACTACTGAGGGCCGCACATCTGCCTCCCTCCCCACTACCACTCAAATCCCTGATATTAAGCACTAATTCCTGAAGCTCCTTCCTTAGTTCCCAACCAGGCCCATCCCCTAAGCACCATCCCTCTCTTCTGCTTTGGAGGTGGGCAGGCGGGGACACTACAGGATGCCAGAAGATGGACATGTGCAGAGAAGGGCCTGCAAAGGCAAAGCCCCGTTCTGCAAGTGACACGGTGGCTGCAGGTATCCTTTTGTCCTAAACCTAGTACATCACTGGGGGATTTATCAATGAGGCACATTCCACCTCCCTCCCAAAACTCCCACAGCGGGCAGGGCAACAGGCCCACGGGAAAAGGAAATGCCTGCTGACCTTTCTCAGTTCCGTGTGGGCCCCTTTAGTGAGCTGCACGCTCCCTGCCAGGCTGAGTCATGTAGCTGGGGCGAGGAGATGGCGACATACTCATTTGGGACAGACACCTCCCACTCCCCTTCTCTTGCGGGTTACCTGCCACCCCTCCAGCTCCTCAGTCTGTGGCAGTTTGGATGCCCCTCCTGTGAGAGACCTGGGATAAGCCTCCCCCAACACTGAGCCATGGGATACCCTGCTCAGCTCAGGTCACTATTCATCCCTTTCCAGGAACAGGGTGAGTCTACTGCAACTTGTTCCCAAGGGATCTAGTTTCCTATTTCTACAATGGGAGCAAAAGAAGACCCTCCCATTTGGGCTGATCTGTTATGAGTCATCTGAAAATAATTTTTTCTGTTAGGAAATTTTATACCTAAAACCAGTTGAGCTGATTGCACCTCATGGCAACCTCACGTGTTTAAGAGTAGAACTGTGCTCCAGAGGTTCTGCGATGGCCGGCCTTTTGGAAGCAGATTGCCAGGCCTTTTTTTCAAGGCAACTCTGGGTAGACTCAAACTGCCCACATTTCAGTTAGGAGCTGAGTGCTTAACTATTTGAGCCACCCAGGGGCTCCTAATATATACACAGTCATACAAATAAAATTCATAAATCATTTTCATGGTCTTTAGTAGATAATCTGGAGTCCTCGTGGCACAGTGGTTAAGAGCTTGGCTGCTAACCAAAAGGCTCGCAGTTCAAATCTACCAGTCACTCCTTGGAAACCCTATGGGGCAGTTCTACTCTGTCCTACAGGGTCCCTATGAGTCCGTATCGACTCAATGGCAACAAGTTTCGTTTTGGCTTTTGGTTTTAGTAGATAATTTAGGTGTTTTATTGGTTCGTAATACTTTTGGGGTAAAAAGCATATACAGATCTTATTCTAATATTACTAATGATTCACTCAAAAAATAATTAAAGAAGAGTACCTAAGAACTTCCCTCAGGATCTTCATTTCTTCCTGTTCAAGGTCACTAACCACGTCCGAACCGTCTGTTAAACACTCAGGTAGCACACCTGTTCAAAACCAAAGACCACACAGAAGAACATCAGTTCAACTGAAAACCTTTACTTTTCACTGTTACAGTTCATCAAGAAGTACAGATTACTTCACTGAAGTCTACCTCTTAAATGTTCTAAGCCATCATCTCTTTATTTCTATTTTAGAGAATCATTCCCACAAAAAAAAACCCAACCATTTTACCAAGCAATGTCTCTTAGAGTTATTTGTATTGCCTATTTAAAATAACAATACTAATACATGGCAGATATAAAATAACACAAGCTATCGTCTTCCATGATCACACTGTTGTTGTTCTTATACACTGCCTAAGAACATAATGCTGAAACCCCCTAAGCTGAGGTTAGTAACGGAACTACACTCGTAAAGGTGTTCCTTAAGTGGGAAAAAGGTTTAAAAACAAACATAAAATAATTTGTTAACTGAAACAGCATGTTGATACTCTTAATTCATATCACAACCACAATTAAACAAGGCCGTGATTACTACATACAAAGAAAGCATGGTGCTCAGCTCTCTCGAGGGATACAAAGGTGTATAAAACAATCTCATCCCTTGGAACTTCTGTTCAGTCATCAGTTTAATAACTATAAACCAGGGCACTACAGCCCTCAGGCCAAGGCAAGTAATTTTCAGTGCCGGTTTAACTGACTTTATTGCCTGTATCGTCCTGATAAGCAGGTAGATGGGTGCTAAGTGTTCTGTCTCTATCTGTTGTCACTACACTCCCACAGCATTAGCAGCATCTCTTTCAATTTTTACCTTCCATTACTTTATCCACACGTGACTTGGAGATTTCACTTCTGCTCTAAATTCAAGTAGCGTTTTCATGCTGATCCCCTTGATGTTTCAGTACCTTTTTAATGAAGTTTTTTATTTCGAGGTAACAGGTTCATATGCAGTTGTAAAAAATAACAGAGAGAGCCTGGATACCCTTCCCCCAGCTTCCCCCAGTGGTGACATCTTACAAACCATGGTACAACAGCAGGGCCAGGAAACAGTATTACAATCCACTCATCATAAGTGCATTTTTGCTCAGTCAAAAGATATAAATCAGTATTCTCCTAATAGTCTTTCTAAGGCAGATTAAAAGCAGTAAGGGAAGAACAAGGCAGCAGTAGGGACTACTCCTAAACCACCCAAACAACGCTCTGATGTGCGTTTTCCATAACTGTTCGATCAGACACATCCAAGAATCTAGAGCACCTTTGAGTTTTTCTCAACACAAAGGTAATTTTCAAACAGCAATTTTAGGAACAGTCGACAGAGCTACAAGGTGCTCTCCCTGAATCTAACTTAAGCAACATTCTTAAATATAAATAACTCTGAGGCAGAAACTAAACATTAGCTTAGTTTAGACGTAAGTGCACCGTCCCACCCCGTGGTCTGACAGCGGCCATTATTCCACATCACTCCCTTCCCCCTCCCTTGGTAACATAAGCCAGACTGTGCGTAGTTATCAGGCAGCCAAATACTTGAGAGGCATACCCCCGGCCCCCACACTGACTCATGATTGGTTTAAACCAAGCATAATGGTTTCATTCCCCATCAGGGGTTTAAGAAGGATACCAAAAAACCAAGCCATTGCCATCGAGTCAATTCTGACTCATAGCAACCCTACAGGACAGTGCAGAATGCCTCAGGGGGTTTCCAAGGAGCGGCTGGTGGATTTAAACTGCTGACCTTTTGGATAGCAGCCGAGCTCTTAACCACTACACCACCAGGGCTCCTTAAGAAGGAGGATGTGTGACCCTAATTTTGATCAATAGGGCCTGAGGGGAAAACTGAGGGTCGGGGGCGGGGAGGGGGCTCCGTCCAAGTGTTATCTTGCTAACCAAAAGAGATGTACAGGAGAAAACATCCCTTTTCTTCATGAGACACTGCTGAGTCGAGTCTGCCTTCAGTACAGCCAGAGTACACTCACGAGAGAAGAGCCTGAGAATGGCAGGGTATAGCGATAGGAAGTGGTGGGTCCTTGATGACATCACCAAACCACTGAATTCATCAAGCCTGGGCCTGTCTTCCTTGCCTCCCTTCCTCTGGACTTCTTGTTCTGTGAGATGATAATTTCTTATTGGGGTTTTCTGTTACTGGCAGCTGGAAGCACTGAACCGATACAAGCTATATGTACTTGTTGTCTTTCTGGTAAAATCTAAATGAGTTTCCAGGAATATTCCAAACTGAAATCTACAAGCTGTCAATGTCATGTTCACAATTTCCTTCATCAAAACTGATCTCCTGAAAACAAAACTTATCGATATAAAACGATTATTCAGATTCTTTATCCCACAGGTGAGAATACAGTAGGGTTTCAGAAAAAGTCAGAAGAAAAGATTTTAGAGCACAAACCTTGGTAGGAAGACAGAGAGAAAGACTGCTTACCAGACCTATTTCTACCAGCAAAGCAACAGCACTGTGCCGTCGTTCTTCACGCTAGGGTGGGGGCGCGCCTATCCACAACAACAGCTCTCTACCTGCTGTGGCAGCGTCTCAGGATTTGGGGGGACAGTTAAGGTGGTGGCTGGTTCTAAGAAATAGTTTCTATTCACATCAGACAAACACAAGAGGAACCTACAAGGCCCTGCAACACCCCCACGTTTGCCCGCACCTACTGGTGCACGTTCCAGACCCTTCAGAGCAAATAATCCAACTGAATTATATATACACAGCTCTCTCACCTGCAAGACACCATCAAAGCGGAAGTCCTGCTGCCAAACCATTGGACAGGTCATAGAACGGTGAAGAGTATCAGTGGCAATCTATTGAGCAAAGGAACACTTAGGAATTCCAGCCCAGCTACCAGGGCCAGAAATCCAAAACAGAGATTTGAAAGGAAGATGGTACAATAACAAGCGCTGTGGTCAGAAAGTCAGATGCTCTGAGTCAGGATGTCCAACATGGCTTAGGTAGCGAAGAAGGAACGAAAGCAGGAAGAGCCGGAGAGACACCGAGATGAAGCAGTCAGGGAGGAGATAAAGTCAAAGCGGGTTCGCTGGGACTCTGGGTTCTGTCTTCTTCTCCACCTAATGCTGGTACCTTCTAACAGCGGTTTTCATGGGATCCCACGTCCAGCAGCTTCAGCATCACCCGGGAATTTGTTAAAAAAGCAAATTATCGGGGTCTCAACCCAGACTACTGAATCACAAACTGCGGGGCATCAACGCGTGTTTCAACAAGCCTTCCCAGTGCTTCGGATGCTCGCTGAGTATAAGGTCCACTGCTCCCTACGAGGCCCTAACCATGAGCCAAGGAGAGAAGGAGTCACCTTCTCTCCACAGAAACTGTAACTGTGATTGTAACTGTGATTAAAAGTTACTGAATTTCATCAACAAATGGCTGCGCAGAAAATCGGGCTCCCTGAAACCGAAAGCACCATTCAACCAAGTTCTGGTCTGCTTTCCGTCAGATGTCAGATACACGCTTATCAACAAGTTTTACTCTTTCAACTCTTAAGGCAGCCACAGACTTTTCAACTTGAAATAAAATTAGTCAAGGCAGCTACATGCGGGACTGTGTTTGAATTAGAATAATCAAAAATGCAAAACATGCCTTTAGCACTTAAATTTCTAACTTGAACATTTTACCATTTCTCTCTTGAATTATTCGAATGGCTTGCAGCTGCATTTCAATGTTTTTCTGGACCATCATTTCTTTAAAGATACTAAAATCTTCTGCTGCCAACACGGGTTGCAAAATGGCCTGTAGAGAGAAATCTATAGGTTAAATGAAGATTCAATTTTTTAAACAGCTTCCCATGCATTCATATAATTTCCAGTGCAAAATGGTGCATTAAATCAAGAAAGAATACTGCGCTGTTATTTATCATCAGATGACTCAAAAAAAGACAATTTTATGATTTTATTTTAAAAGCCTCTAAAATTGGGTTCTCGAGAGGTTGATTCTCCTGACCCCCAAGGCTCCAGGAAGCTAAGGGTGACAGTGATACATTTTCCCAATGAGCCAGAACTGGATGCCTCCAAAAAACCATGCAGGAATCTGGCTCACTCTTCTAAAGTAACCACTTCAGTATCTGGATTTGTTTTCTCAGCCAAAATAATCTACTTAGTTTATATTCTTTCACTTGCAACTTACTGTTTATTTAATGGTAAGTCAGTAGCTACAAAATTATTCCTTAATAAAAATATCGACATAAAACTAAATGCCCTCCAAAATAGAGTCTGGACAATACGTAAAACGGGCTATTAGCAATGAAGAACACAACTGTAGGTGTCCTACACGTAGAAAGCTTCACACAAGAGGTGCAGTTAGAAATTATGATATAAAATCATTTCTAGGTGAAACTGAGAAATATACTAAATTTGAAAAATGAAAGGATCTACCTTAGAGCACAGTAACAAAAAATGAACATCCAGGCCTTCAGAATCTGACTCTGATGAGTTCAAAAGACATTCAAACATGTCCATGTTCAAATTCACTTAGCCTAGGGTTCTTCTACCATTATCTCTACTTAATCATACCACAGGCTTAAACAGTGTAAGGGATTCTCTGCATTTGTGTTGCTCCATTGAGAAAATGTGCAGATGGGCTATTTCAGAGAACCCAGGTCTTGGCAAGTACATTTGCCAGACCATAACCATAAACACTGTACTACACGCAGGAAATAATAAATATTTGTTGAAACTACAAAAGGACGATACATGCTAGCTGGCAATCTATCAGGCTAATTAATCTCATTAAGCATCCTCCCAGATCACTATAAGGGGATCAAGAGGGATTTTCCAAGCTGCTCAGTGACACGCTGGTCAATCAAGCAGCACAGACGGACTTTGAAATGGGATCTGACTATATAGAAAGCCCTCTCAGAACAGTGACAATCAAAAGCCCTGGGAATTTCAAAGACTGAAGTAAGGAAAACTAAGAGCTACTAGTGGAATACACTACGGCCTTCAGTATGGATGACATGTCAACACAAAACAAAAATCCTCACAACTGGACCGATAAGCAACATCATGAGAAACGGAGAAAAGACTGAAGTTGTCGAGGATTTCATTTTACTTGGATCCACCATCAATACCCATGGAAGCAGCAGTCAAGAAATCAAACAAAGTACTGCATTAGGCAAATCTGCCGCAAAAGACCTCTTTCAGTGTTGAAAAGCAAAGATGTCACATTGAGGACTGAGGTGCGCCTGACCCAAGCCATGGTAATTTCAATTACCTCATATGCACGCGAAAGCTGGATAACAAATAAGGAAGACTGAAGAAGAACTGACGCCTTTGAATTGTGGTGTTGGCAAAGAATACCGAATATGCCATGGACTGCCAGAAGAATGAACAACTCTGTCTTGGAAAATGTACAGCCAGAAAGCTCCTTAGAAGCAAGGATGGCGCAATTTCGTCTCACATACTTTGGACATGTTATCAGGAGGGACCAGTCCCTACAGAAGGACATCATGCCTGGTAAAGTAGAGGGTCAGCAAAAAAGATGTGTGAATGTGACCTTATTTGGAACTAAGGTTTCTGCATATGTAATCAAGGGAAACTGAAGTCTATGACTGTTGTCTTTCTAAGGAGAGAAGAGACAGGCACACAGGAAGAATGTCAGGTGACCACAGAGGCAGACACTGGAACGATGTACCTACAAGCCAAGGAATGCCAGCAATACCAGATGCTAAGAGAGAGTCATGGAAAAGATTCTACTCAAGAGCCTGCAGGGAAAGAACACGGCCCTGCTGACACCTGGATTTCAGACTTCTCGCCTCCAGAACTGTAAGAGAATAGACTTCTGTTGTGTTAAGCCACCCAGTTTGTGGTGATTTGTTACAGCAGCCCTTAAAAAAAAAAAAAAACCATAGGCACCTATGAAAAATGCACACCTAACATTATACTCAGTGGGGAAAGACTGAAGGATTTCCCCTTGAGATCAGGAACGAGAGTTCTATTCAACATTGTACTGGAAGTTCTAGTCACCAGCTAGACAAGACAATGGAATAAAAGGCATCTAGATTGGAAAAGAAGACGTAAAACTATCTCTATTGCAGATAACATAATCTTGTATATGGAAAATCCTAAGTAATCCACTGAAAAACAATTAGAACTAATAAACAAGTTCAGCAAGGGTGCTGGACACATTATATAAAAATCAACTGTATCTATGTCACCGAATTATAAATGTAAAAATTGTTGAACTGGCAAATTGTTTTGTTAGATATATTTTTACCACAATAATCAACAAACAAACAGAAAAGATCAATTGTATTTCAAGACAACGGCAAAGACTAATCCAAAACGAAATTAAGAAAATAATTCCATTTATAATAGCCATCACAAAGAATAAAATACTTAGAAAAATTAAACAAAAATTAGTGGAAAACTTACCTTCTAAAAATTATGAAACACTGTTAAAATTAAAGAAGACCTAAATAAATAGAAACACATACATGGATCATAAGACTCGATATTGCTAAGATGGCTACTCAGATTGATGTACAGATTGATTGCAATCCCTATCAAAATCCCAGCTGGCTTCTTTCCGGAAACTGGCAAGCTAATTCTAAAATACATGTGGACATTCAAAAGATCCAGAATAGCCAAGATTACTTTGTTTTGAAAAAGAACAAAGTTGGAGAACCCACACTTCCCAATTTCAAAACTTACTACAAAGCTACAATAATCAAGACTATGTGGTACTAGAGTAAGGACAGACATATAGACCAATGGAATAGAATTAAGAGGGCAGAAATAAACCCTCACATTTAGGGTCAAGTGATTTGCGACAAGAGTGCCAAAACTGAGAATTTAATGGGGAAAAGAACAGTCTTTTCAACAAATAGTGGCGGAACTATGGATATTCACATGGAAAAGAATGAAACATAATAGCTAAAACTATAAACTCTCAGAAGAAAATATGAGTTAATCTTCATGATTCTGTGTTAGACAAAGCTGTCGGAGATATGATGCCAAAAGCACAGGCAACAAAAGAAAAATCAGATAAACTGGATTTCATCAAAATTTAAAACTTTGTGCTTCAAAGGATACCATCAATAAAGTGAAAAGACAACTCTCAAAATGGGAGAAAATTTTTACAAATCATATGTCTGATAAGGGACTTGTATTTACAGTATATAAAGTCCTCTTACAACTCAATAAAAAGATAAACAATCCAATTAAAAAATAGGCAAAGGATCTGAATAGATACTTCTCCAAAAAAAAATATAAGTGCCAGTAAGCACATGAAAAGATGCTCAACATCATCAGCCACTAAGGTAAATGGAAATCGAAATAAAAATGACATATATCTTCATACCCACTAAAAAAAAAAAAACTCACTGCCATCAAGTTAACTCTGACTCAGGACAAACTCATCTGTTACAGAGCTAAGATGGCTATAATCAAAAAGACCGAATGTTCGCAAGAATGTAGAGAGACTGGAACTCTCATACACTGTTGAAGGGAACAGAAAATGCTGCAGCTACTTTGAAAAACAATCTAGCAATTCTTTAGGAGGTTAAACATAGAGTTATCACATGACCCAGCAATTCACTCCTAGGTATATACCCAAGAGAAATGAAACATATATACACACAAAAACTTGTAGACAAAAATGTTCAAAGCAGCGTTACTCATCATAGCCAACAGGAGAAACAACCTGAATGTCCATCAACAGATGAATGGATAAATAAAATGTGATACATCCATGCTGTCATCGTTGTGTGTCGTCAAGTCGATTTGGACTCATAGCGACCCCTGTAGGACAGAGTAGAACTGCACCAGCGGGGCTCCACTGATATATCCATACAATGGAATATTCAGCCAAAAAAAGGGAAAGAAGTATTGATACATACTACAACATGGACGAACCTTGAAAACATGTACGCTAAACAAAGAAGCCAGACACAAAGGACCACATACTGTATGACTCCATTTATGTGAAATTTCCAGAATAAGCAAATCCACAGGGGCAGAGTACATAGATTAGTGATTGCCAGGGACTAAAGAGGTTTAGGGGGAAATAGGGTGTGACTGCTAATTGGTTCAGGGTCTCTTTTTGGAGTGATAAAAATTTCTAAAAGTGATTGTGGTGATAACTGCACAATTCTGTGAATATACTGAGAACGTTTAAGTGGGTGAATTTTATGGCATAAGAATTATATCTCAGCAAAGCTGCGATGTAAAAAAAAAGAGCTATTAGTACTTGAACTAAGAAGAAATATCTAATATAACAATAAGTATTTCGGAGAATCACTTAAAAATTTATTAGCACTCACACAAAATACGTTAATTATCCTGTATTTTTTAAAAGGAATGGTATCACCATGTTTGTCAGTTCAACAGTGAAAATTATTGAAACAAAAGGCACAATTTCCCCAAACCACTATTATTATAATAAAAATATTTGTGGGAGTGTTAATTTCTATCTCATAAAAGTCAAAAAAAACCAACTCAAAAACAAGAAGCGACAACTAAGAAGAAACTCAGCAAAGATACAGAAGACCTAAAGGGCACAATCAG